ACTGGATGACGACCTTTAGTGTGTCCTTTTTCTCAGGAATGTTGGCTGTCTTGTAATCCCGATGCTTGGGAAGTTTTTCTATAAAGAGCCTAAGGAGGGGAAAAAAAAATATCAAGACCCATAAAGGTCAGAAAACTCTTAAGAGAGGTCTTTACGTAAACTCCTTCAGCTTACTTCAGTCAATATGGACGGAAATGTGAAAAGACACTCACGTAATATATTTATTGTAAAGGACAAAGGCATGCTCGATGTTGCCCTCCTCCGTGTAGATGTTAGCCATGCGGATCATCTCCATGCCTGAGCGGAAGTAGCGGCGTGGGGGCATGTCGTCATTAATCTCCACCGAGCTGCCCTTCTTGGTCAGGGCGCGGACGCGCTCCTCCGGCTGCAGGCTGACATCAGTGTGATCGGCCATCACGATGGCTCAACCTGTAAGACTGGAGAAACAGGCTGACTCAGTGGCGTCTTTAAGCCAACAGTGGATTCATAACGCCGGGTTTGAACATCCGAGAGCCTTTGAACGCACCGTCAATCTGAATTCTGACTTGGAGGTAAAACTAAACATGATTATTTTGGTTAATACTGAGAAAAAGACAATTGAACACAATTATTCAAAGACTGTGCAGAGTCAGACTTTCATTCTCAAACAGGAATTGGAAAGTCTAAGCAGGTAAAAAACAAAACTATAGAGCTAACTAGAGTGGGGAATAAATAAGAGAACATTTAGTTGCCCCCCTTTAAACCTCTAAAATGCTGCACATTTGTTTCACAGTTTTTCTGTCAGACACTGCTTCATCTGCTTTCAGAACTCTCTACAACCTTCATGAGTCCTAAGGAAATGTACATTTTATTAGAAGTTAACAGCAAGAAGGAATCTTGAAAAAAAAAGTAAGGCATATCCAGCTGGAGTTTTTAACAAATGACTCTATTAGGAATTCACAATGACATCACTGGAAACTATGCGTATATAGAGTATATTTTAAGTAATTAATTCAGTAAGTATGTAGGAAACACAGACTCTCGTATACGCTAGCACAAAGAGGCAGTGTGTCCTCAGTATCAAGGCCACAACTCAGTCTAAAAATCACTGGCTGCTGAATATATTTGGAAAAAAAAAACTGCTGGGAGGGTCGATTTGGTGTGACTCGAGGTTCTCTAGGCTTCATCAGCATGCTGACTAACAGTCAAATGGCTGCTATTGATTCTCCCATGATGGCTTCTTGGCTAGAAGGCACAGAAACACAGTGTGTAAAGAGGCGGCCACTTCTTAACAGTTTAGCTCAAGAGGTGTGGCGCTGATAAAAGGAGCAGAGGGGTGGTACTTGTGGTTCATGCTGTCCGGTGCTATCTACCGTTTTCTTTCTAACATACACAGCTGCACAAACAGTCTTGCCCCCCCCCAAAAAAAAACCCCAATACAATTGTTAGTAATATTACGTAACACACATTTAGTCACTGCTTTGTTAAGTCTAAATTATTTATGTTGCCCACATAAAGTAGATGATGAACATAAAACTAAGGAGATATTCATGGAGAAAAACTAAACTTTATTACCAATTACAACACTGATATCTGCATAAAATATTGAAACTTGTTTTGTAGACTCAGAATAGGCCTGTAGGAAGTGACGTGATGGTATTTTTGGTAAACAAAATTTGCTTTATGGATAAGTGTCTGTAAGCCTAATTATAAAAACGGCTTAAAGATATTATGTATATCTTTAATACAAGGTGTTATTTTTCATTTGGCTCCAATACTCTTCTTCTAAACAAAAAAGCCTAGAGAAACCTTAAACCTTTTAAAATGATTATCCAGTAATCTACCCTTATTGTAGACTCACACAGAATTAGAGATGACACAACCACAGCTGGGGTTGGCAGCGTGTGATACTAAATTTTATAGTTGAGATAAACCCTCATGAATTTCAGAAGCATTCAGTCATCAAATGCGGGTAAAAATTAGATTTCTCAACATGACTGTGTATTTTAAGTCTATATAACTATATAATATCAAAATTAACCTGCAATGAAAACACGAATAAGGTGCTTGACATAAATAAATTCCTTAGAAAATTTATTGACAGAGTATTTGAGAAAGTAAAACGTAAAAACCACAGTGACAGTAACTTTTATGTTTACAGTCAGTGTGATCTTTATAGAAACGGGTAAATTACAAATATGTCGTGCCAGACTTCGTTTTTTATCCAAACCATTTGCTAGCTCGGTCATGGTCTATTTAACCTTCAGGGTTGCTTTCACCTCCTTTAAAAACTTCACGACACTCCCTGTGTGTCACTATATTTTCCCATCGATCCCTGTATCCCTGTCACTGAACTGATCGAGCTCTTTAAAAACGTCGCGTTAGCCTGTGCTAAGTTAGCCTCTAATAAACGGGTAAAAAGCTCTCCACCTCCGTACAAATGCCATCATCCTTCTTACCTGATCGAGCCGTGAACCTGAACCCGAAGCTCCCACAGAACTACATACAAGTGGATAATAAACACGGTCAAATTACGGCCCTAAGGCTAATTGTTAGTGAGCTGCGCCTACAACCAACAGCATCTGTACACTTCCGCAATCAAAGCAACTTCCGCCCGACTAATCCTCACGCAAGCGCAGAAGTATTCCTGTAATTTAGTTTCTTTCGAATGGATATGGGCTTTGTGTTGTGTTTAAATATATATACACTGATCTGATTTTTAAAGGTGAAAATTTTCAGACAAAAAATTGATTCATTTTAAGTGTTTGATGGTCATTTTGCAGTCTTTTGCTATTTGTTTGTGTAGCTATTGACTTCATGTGTTTTCAAGCTTTTCCTATATATAAAACATTTTCTAGCATTTCATTGGACAGTTCGCCTCGTACTTTACACACGCATGCGCTGTCCTTCCCCAGGTGGCCTTGTGCTCTGGTACTTTCCCTTGCTTAGTGATATGCATGTAAAACGGCTGGTCCAGAACAGCGGATGCGTTTCAGGTTGAATGGGGTGACGTCAGCCATCAGCCCCGGGCACCAACCAATCAAACCAAGGTATCCTGAGAGAGAGCGACGTGGTTACTCGTGCAGTCTGGCATCAAAATGTCGAGACCTTGATTACCGTGCTCAATAATGAATATACTGTATATTAACAGTGTAACCAGCATTTAGCTTAGCTCGTTCGAATATGATGGACGATGTTCCCCGACACAGCATGGCTCGTTGGTCTAGGGGTATGATTCTCGCTTTGGGTGCGAGAGGTCCCGGGTTCAAATCCCGGACGAGCCCTTTATTTGTTAATGTTTACGTACTGTATGAGATCGTGGGCGCTTGGGCAGTAAAAAAAAAAAAAGTATACACAACACATCCATTGATGTAGCGCACTTTATGCAAATGAGTTCTCACTGTGTTTGTCAGGCTTATCTGCGTGTCTTTAGGGTACTTTGTGGGTTTATTAATTATATAATCATAAATAGAATTCACCTGAAATGTTCTGAATTACACGGTAGGGATGGAACAACACATTTATTTTTAATTACTTTTTGTGATCACAGTTTACTTCACTATATTAATTGAACATTTAAGGATGAAATTGGGAATTTAAACCAAAAATTAAATGACAAATAAATTCTGAAAATAAATCCATCCACTCCTTCTTTTGTGGAGTTCTTACCATAATAACATATTTGTTTGCTTTGGCATATTTTATATCATGACCTGTATTTATTTTATTATATTAAATTCATCTCTGCTAGTTTTTTTTTAAAGTTTTAAGATATTTAACAGTATTGTTTAGCAACACATGAACGTTTTAAATTATTGGTCAGTTGCCACTAATGGATAAATAGCTTGTTGACCTACTTCTCATTTTTAAAATATTTTGCTTCCAAGGTGCCAGACTTTCATATAAGTTGGTAAAGTGGGGGGTTTTTTTGGGTTTCTGCAGGTCTATCAAATTTCTTCTTTGCAATTTCTTATTTCTATGCATAAAATACAACAAGCATTTTTTGGCATGTCTATCTCAAAAACCTACAATTTGTAATTTAGTTTACTCTTAAAAAAGAGAGACAAAGACAACAGAGTTTGACAGGCATGAAATAGTATTTCTGCACAAATAAAGTGACTCCCAAAGCATCTGAAATGAGGGTGTATTTCTTTTCTGAGGAAAAAAAAAGTTGGGGATAAAGATGTGGCAGGCCTGAAAAAGGGAATCAGGTACGACATTGAATGTGTAAAGCCCTCTGTAAAACACAGTGGAAGCATGTTGATGGTTTGGCGCTTCATGGTGATTGCCAATGAATCAAAATCATCTTATCAAAAATGACAGAAATATGGACACAGATAAATACTGTGAGGGAATGTAATTTGGAGGGTGTCTGACTGGCAGAAGGTTTATTTTTCACAGACTGATCCCAAACAGACTGGCAATGCAGAAAAAGCATACTTAGATAGAAAAACACACAGAGGAGCATGGACCGGGCTAGCCAATGTTCAATAATGATGACCTCAACATTAGTGAATAGTCAACTACCTCACTTTTTGTTCAACAATAACCAACCTATAACAATCCCTTTTTGATCCTTTTAATTATAATTCAGGTAGTGTGGGATCATCTTGAGAATATATATAATATGTAGAAGGATGACGTAAAATAGAATATCACAAAACATTAGTTAAACTAATGTTAGGTAAAAAAAAAAAAAGTAAAATAAATATAAATTTGAATGAAAAGTAATATAGCTCACGCATAATCAGAGTACGGGGTTTTCGTGCAGTACCACCTTTGAACGCAAGGTGGCAGACACGACCATGTGGAAAAAGCCAGTGCGGTCTGTGACGTCACAGTGAAAACGACCACATCCTCCACGCGTTCCTGCTGCCAGGGGCTAAAAAGCAAACGTCCTGTCTGTGTGTGAACGACTGAGCAGTGCCGGATGGATCGTCCGCACCAAAGCTGACATTTTCACTCCCTGTATTTGACGTCGCGGTTCGTGTCGGAGCCACGGGAATTGAATTGTTGACAGGAATTGACGTCAAGCCTGATTTTCTGTCCCTAACAGTGTCACCCGGTAAGCTAACTCTCCAGGCTAATCTAAAAGCAGCTAATATACCTGACTCCAGGTTATCAGACCACTAAGATAAAACGTCTGCTCAGTTTTATTGATGAACACAGGGTAGTGTGTCCGTGTTTATTCAGCGTAAGCATTTAGGACCATAGCTAAATAATCAATTGTTTTTAGTGTAGAAGCTAATATTATAAAGGTAGATAAGTAATCTTCAAGCTTTTTAACTCATTCAATTTTGGGTTTAGTGTTCTCCACGATAATCCACAGATTTGACTTTGGAGAGAAATAAAGGAGTGCAGACAGGTGAGACTCACCCAGGTGTCTGTAGAAATCTGCCAATAACAAAAGAGTCCCTTTAATGTATGCATGTAATATCTGTTTTCTGGCACACATT